TTCTCTTCTAATAACTGCAAGCATATGGGCCTAGTAATTGTTGAGTTCCTTCTTTTTCATACTGGTGGCACATGCGCCAAGTAGGGATTTTGCTGCAAGAACATACATCGGGTAGAGGTGATTATTTCCTATTATTATCACTATAGGAATATGCACCGAGTGATTAAGTTTTATCTTTGTCCTACTGCTGGCATATGCGCCAGGTAGGGACTCTACTGCAAGAAAATACACTGGGCAGAAGTGATTCTTTCCTCTTCTTATCACTTCAGGCTCATGCAATGGGTGGTTATTGAGTTTCCTTTTATCCTACTATTAGCATATGTGCTAGGTAGGGACTCTGTCATAGGCACATACATTAGGCAGAGGTGATTATTTTCTTTTCACATCACTACAAGCATATGCATCAGGTAATTGTGTTGAGTGTTCCTTTTTTATCCCACTACAAGCATATGCATTAGGTAGGGACTCTGTTGTATGCACATACACCTGGCAGAGGGGACTCTTTCCTCTTCAGATCACTACAGACATATGTGCCACTTGATTATGTTGAGTGTTCAATTTTTATCCTACTGCAGGCATATATGTCAGGTAGAGACTCTTCTGCAGGCACATACACCTGGTAGACGTGACTCTTTCCTCTTTATATCACTGCACCATATGCAATGCCTGGTTTTAAGTGTTTCCCTTTATCCTACCATCAGGCAAATGCACCAGGTAGGGACCTTGCTGCACATACATACACCGAGCATGGGTGGATTGCTCCTTATTCTTGTCACTATGGGCATATGTGCTGGGTGAGCATCGAGTTTGTTTACCTTCCTCCTCTTCCCATCACTGCGAACATGTGCATCGATTGATGGTCAAGTTACCTTCCTCCTTTTTGATTTGGTTGAACAAATGTTAGGATTCTTTCTCTATATATGTCCAACCATCTTTGCAGGGTTGTACGATTATTGAATGATTGTATTATTTTTGCATTATCTAATCATTATTACATTGCATGACTAATTATTGTATAATTTGAATTTGTATTTCTCGGAGTCTTTTAGCTTGTTGATTTGTGTCCTCTAAGGGATAAGGAGGTCAATGCCAACACCTGCAGTTCATCAATTGTTAACCACACATGTTGGGGTTATGTTTATTGACATCATTTTTGCTCACATTCTTCTCAAGCACATTCGACTAATTTAATCGAGCCTAGCCGAGCCCAATTTACATTCGAGGTGACTTGAGTTGGGTCAAATTGGACCTGACAAGGTTTGCTTATACTTGATTAACGCCAATAAGTCTCTTTTAATGTAGTTTGATCCAAATCGACGTCGATTTGGGTTCGACTTAACTCTTAAAATTAACATTAAGACATTAATATTTAAACTTGAATTAAAGTTTTTTTGTTCCTTTGACCTTCAACAAATAAGAATAAAAAGCAACTTTAACTAAATTATCTTATATAGGACATACTTGAACTACACAGCTTGCTACACACATTAGAATTTAATTATTAGGATCACTGACTCTAGTCTTAGGCTAGGCCATTAATGTGTTTTGGTATGATGCAAATACCTTTTCTTGGAGGGTATCTTTGGTGTGTTTATTTACTTTTTTATACTTTGGATGTCATGCATGCATTTTATACATATTATTTCATAATACACTCTATCTACATACATGCATCATATCATTACTACTCAAATAAAAAATGTCAAAGTAGAATGTATCTAGGATGCTTGTAAAAGAATACTCAAAGTATAATGTACTTAGGTGTGAATGTATATGCAAAGAGTTAAATGTAAATGTAAGGTGTCAATAGTTATAAAGATTTAAAGGTGCTTGCATATATAAACATACAAGATTCCAAAAGATAATTCCCTTTCTTTTGGGCATTCCTTTTTGGAATTCTATAGAAAAATTCATAGCCAGAAGATGATAAGTAAATGCATTTAAATGTATGTCTCATAGGAGTAAAAAAAAAAGGTTTATTGTGGTGGAGCCTGGCCACCTTATTTTATTACAGACCCTGGGTTGTATGTATTCTCCAAAGAAATGAATAAAATACTTTATTTATGCATTTGTTTCATGAATAATCATACATGGCACGAGGTGAAGTAATTTATATATTTTATGTATTCCTAATTTAAATCTCTGAAATAAAATCTTTGATTTCTTAAGATAGATCCTCCTTATCTTGCATATATAGGGAGATTGCATTTAGCACCATAACTTTCACTATATTTCAAATCTCATAATCACATATTTCAAACAAATAATATAAATTTTCTAATAAAATACTAAAATGTCTAAAATGACTAGCTCTATAATATATAGAAAATTACACTATAAAAGTTTATCCACATTTTTATAACTTGAAATTATAATTTTAACAAGACAATCATAAATTTTCCATACTAAAAAAAATTAGCATAATATAGCCTGCCTCAATCTGAATAATTTTTCAAAATTAGACTGACTGCAAAAAATAAAGCAGAGTCACTCAAAACCTAGCTTTCTTCTTTAGAAATCCTTCTCTCTCTCTGGTTCACTAAGGAGAATGAATGAATTTAATGTTTAAAACATTTTGGTGTAAAAGGATATTTTTATAAAATTTGAACCTAATGCCACGATGTGTGGCCCTACTACACTACAACGCTTACCATTAGTGAGCATAACGCCATAGCGCCACGCCAACACCGTAGCTTTGAATTTTTTTTTCAAAAAGATAGAGAGCTCAATAATGCAGTGCTGCCTACCCCGGTGCAATGATGCTCTAAAGAAAAAAAATTAGAATTTTATTTTATGCAAATAGACCCTCAAAAAGAGCTTTAAAATATATTCAAACATTCACATGCATACAAAACACTCACATACAAATGCAAGAGGTATTAAATATTGAAATTGAATGAGTTACCTTTACCAGATGGAGTTAGAACATCTGAAACTAGTTACTAATTCAGTAGGTATTACCCATCATTTTTCTCTTACCCACTTCTATCACGGACATTAGTATTCTACACCTTCAGTCATACAATGCTTCGTAAGAGTCATATTGATACTTGCTTCAAAACTATTATTATAGGTAAATTTAATCAAATTAATATGATACTTCCATCTTCCTCCAAAATCCAATAAAAATAATCTTAATAGATTCTCAAGCACTTGAATAGTCCTCTAGGACTGGCCATCTATTTATGGGTGATAATTTATACTAAATTCAGCTTAATTCCTTGAAATTCTTGGATACTCTTCCACAATCTAGAAGTAAAACAATCATCCCAATTAGGAATAATAATCTTAGGTATTACATGATGTTTGACGATATCTTATACATACAACTATGCCAATTTCTCTATTATGTATGTCAATCTCATAAGAAGAAAATGAGCTGACTTGGTCAACCTATCTACCACATCCAAAACCAGATCATAACCTTGCCTCAACCTTGGGATCCCATAACAGAATCTATCTCAAAATCTTCCACTTTTGCTTATAAAATAGATAAGGGATGCAATAGACAACTGGGCTTTAAATGTTCAACATTTATGATTTGACAGGTCTCATACTTCAAAATAATTTCAATCACATCACTCTTCAACCGAAGCCAATAGAACATCAGTCTCAAATCATGATAAAACTTGCTACTACTTTGGTGAATCATATGTTAAGAATAATGAGCTCCATGCAAAATCTCTAACCTAAAACTAGCTCAAGTACAAACCCACAGTCAACTACCACAAGTCACAACACCTGGATCATATACATGCAAATCGATTCTCTTTCCCAACTGAATCTGATCAACTAATCTTACATAATTCATCATATAATATCTAAGCTTCTTTAATCTTTTTCTACAAGAAAGGAAAAACAATAATCTGAGAAAGAACTTTCACACTTAAGAATTTAAAATCAATAAAAGACATCAAAGGTATAAACATAAAACTTTGCCTCACTTAGAAGCATTACATATCATTCATAGTTGGGCTACTTGGCTTCGTTGCTTATGTTACAGGTCTCAATTTCTTAATAAAAATAACCTAACGATATTACATTGCTTACAAATATTGACATTATGATTTTAAATTGACTAGGTGGTTTTAGATAGTAGTTTTTTCATGCAAATTAGTAAGTCTAATAAATTCAACTTTCTTTCCAAGGAGTTGAAGGTGCTCTCCAAAACTAATCATTTCATTGCTCATCTCTACCGTGCTTTGATTTTTTTCTCATGGAAAAGTAGGAACTTGGTTATTCATGGTGGAAAGGAAAATGGAATCTCTTTTATTGCTTCTAATTTCTCATTTATCACATCATAAGACCTCATCTTCTATGTAAACTTTTAATCTTGCATTGATAAAATATAGCCTCAAATTTTTAATGAAATGAATAACTCCAATACAAGGACCAAATTCTCAAAACATTAAAGCATAATATAGGAAAATTTGGACCATTTTTTAGCATTTCAGAATCTTGACGGGCCCCACTTTTCAACATTTAATCTCTTGAAAAAAAAAAAAAACTATTCCAAATTAAATCACTCTTTAAAATTCTAAAACTGTATTATTTCCTCACATTAAAATCATAACAAATATTTAACAATAGTTTATTTTGTGAATAAAAAAAATGAAATTTAGTAAGAAACATAATGTCCTTTACAGATGTCTTATATTTTCTTAAGTTTAACTATAGCTTTTTTTTTTAATCAGAATTTTTCCATATATATATATTTTAAGAACAGTGTCGCTCAGTCCAGTTATCCTAATACATAATTTTTGTATAAAGACCTTTTTTTCCCTTGTAAATCCTGTTCGGAATCTTTAAGCAGCATCAACTCAAGGATATGCACGCAACGAGTTATGCCAATCAAGTTGGTAGATGCGATGCTATTCCTAGCCAAGTAGCTTCAAAATGACTGAATGTATGAATCTAATTCTTCATGAAATAATTGTTATATCACAATCCACAGCATTCGATACCATGTCCACAAACTTCAATAATAACACCCCCTTTGTCATCTGGTTGCTGAATCTGATTCCCTATGACTCTAATGAATAACTTGCAGCTATAAATGCTCCCACCCAGATAACTAACTTCTCTCAAGCAATTCTCAATACTTCTTTGCAGTTAAGAAGACCTTGAGAGCCAAAAAGACCAAATGGCATCCCTGAAGGCAGAGAAACCTGCGTGTACTACTCAGGTTCCCGTAGGTCAGCCCAATAAGGAACTACCTAAGGCTACTGACGTTAAACCCAAGGCCCTCTCTACAAGGCCAGCTACAAAGGTGGAACAGAAGCCTCGTGCACCAACTAAAGTTCAGGTATACCATATTAATTCTAAGTAGTTTACAATTCTGCTACACCAACTGAAGTAGTTATTCAAATGTCTTTATAATCTTTACGTAGTGGGATTTATTAAAAAAAAAAAAAAAACGTAACTTCCGGTTTCTGGTGTTGTTATGCAGGCTAAAGTTGGAAAACCAGCAGGAAAAAATTAAGAACAGCATAAGTAGTAAGAGGTGTCACATAGAACAGCAGAAGGCTCTTTATCAACATCCAGTTACTCTAATAAAATTATCATAAACCTCAGATCAGGTTGTTATGTAATGTTTATGCTAGTTTGCCTACAGCAATAAAATACAGCCTTATTATAACGATGTTCACTACCTGTAATATCTCTCATATGATAAAATTATGTGACAATCTGATACTAATAGTGATCAAAGCTCTTCATTTTGGTGGCTTAGGGGAAGAGAGGAAGAATGATTATAGTTGACATTTTCAGCACAAGGAGTTGGTGCAAGAAATTAAATTTGAATGGTTGATGAATACAATTGGAGCGCAAGCATGCCAACAATTCATTAGTTTCATAAGCTAAGATGTTACAAAAGATAATGCCTATATAACTTTATGATATAAAAGTTTCTGATGTGTTTATGATTGGCCAACTCGGGAGCAGAGTTGTGATTCCAGCGCTTCATCACCTCTTGTACCTCTGTCAATTCTGAAGAACGCTGATGATTCCTTCTTTTGAATTTCATGCACACTAGTTCTTCAAAACGAATTGAGTTAGCCATTCAACTAATACTAAAGAGTCAATTTTTGGAAATTTCACTGCCTAAAAGCATCTTCAATATGCCAAGGCCATAAAGAATAAGGTCATATCGTCCTGTAGAAAAATCTGCAATAGTAAGAAAAATAGAGGCTTTTAAAGAGCAAAGGCACGATATTTCATATAAGAGTCACATAACCATTGACTATTGTTGCAGTAACATACGGTTATGTTAGAAATCAAGAAGTTATGGTATCTCTACTTGATTGATATACTGATCAAAGAAAACAAGTCTCCTGAAAGTAGAAGGGCTGGAAAGGCTGAAAAAAATAAACATAGTTTAAGTTCATACAGGAATTGTGCAAATGCACAATTACTCAGTTGGTAATAAACAGTGTAGACAGCATGCACAGATACAAGGTCTGCGTAAATACTAAATTACATAGCAGGCAATCTCTAACACCAAAGATGTTTATCACCGTTGTAGATTTCAATAAAATGAAATCTGAACCAAATCGGCAATTCAACATGGAATCATCTCTCATAAAATAGGTAGTTAACATCTAAAATTTACTAAAAGCTACAGAATTCAAAGCAGTGTAGAGAACATGGACAGATACAAAGTCAGACATATGTATTGAATAATATAGCAGGCAATCCCAAACACCAAGGATGTTTATCACCTTTGAAGATTTCAATAAATAAAAATCTGAACCAAATCTACAATTCAACATGTATTCATCTCACATAAAATAGATAGTTAATCTCTAAAATTTACTAAAAACTACAGAATTTGTGCCTCAGAAATGAAACATACAGAATATTTTGTCTACAGAGAAAAGTGACATAAAAAAGAAATGCTTATGGCATTGACTTGACATATAAAAAACAACCAAACGAAGACAAGTTTAACAACAACAACATCAAGCCTTTATCCCACTATGTGGGATCGGTTACATAAATCTTTTTTCTCCATTGTGTTCTATTAAGAGTTAAACTCTCATTTAAATCTAATAAAAAATGTCATTTCTATTATTATTATTTTTTTAAATGTCATTTCTAAAATTTTCTAATCAAGTCTTTTTAGGTCTATCTCTACCTTTCATAACATAAGTCAAATCTAACACATTTACTCTCCTAATACATTTTATGTGTCAAAAACATCTAAGGCAATTCTCTCTATTCTTATCATGAGCTACCCCAACCTTTCACATATAATACTCATTTTGCATTCTATCTCTAAGAGTAAAACCACTCATTCACCTAAGCATCCTCATCTCTGCAACACTTAATTTTATGCTTCTCTTTTAATTGCAAACATTTGTGCCATAAAGCATTGCATGTCTCACCACCATCTTATAAAATTTTCTCTTAAGTTTAAGGGATACTATTTTGTCACACAATAGGCCCGATGCATTCCTCCACTTCAACAATCCAACTTAAATTCTACTCATAATATCCCCAACTATTTCACCATCACTTTGAAAAATAGACCCAAGATATCTATAAAATGTGTACTGTTATTAATGTCTTGATTGCTCAAGTTACAATCCCCCCACTAGATCTATTACTATTAAAATTACACTCCATGTATTCCGTTTTAAATCTACTCAAACATAAACATTTGAGATTGACCTCCATAATTTAAATTTTCCTTCAACACCCTCTCTAGTCTTATCAACAAGAAAAACATCATAAGCAAAAAGCATACACTAATGTACATTCTCTTACAATTATCTCGTAAGAACATCCACAACTAAGCTTAAATATGATCCTTAGTGCAATGAAACTAAAATAGGAAAATGTTTGGTCAAACCACCTTATGGTTGAACACAAGAAATAGCTTTTGCATTCATATCCTTCATGACTTAAGTGTAAGCATTATTAAATCCTTTCTTTTCTAGAACTCTCCAAAGCACTTCTCTCCGATCATTATTATATGCTCTCTCTAAATCAATAAATATCATATGTAGATCCTCCTTATTCTCTCTATACTTCTTCATCAAACCTCTTAGTAAATGTATATCTTCCATAGTAAAACTATCTAGCATGAATCCAAATTTATTTTGAGAAACATAAGTATCACGATGTAACCTATGCTCAATAACTGCTCTATTATTAAGACAATAATCAAATTTTTTTCTACTATTTTCTGGCTATTTTTCAAAAGTTATTTTTATTTTTTACTACCAAAATAGCTAAATTAATTTTTCTATGCTATCAAAATTTTTTCTGTAAGTTGTTTATTATTTAATATTTAATATTCTACCTTCTTAGATAATAATTTGAAAAAAAAAAAAATTTAAAACTTCCGATGTAAATCCCAAGCCTAGATGAAAAAAGTTGAGGAAAAATTTAAAAAAATTAATTTAGGCCCCCTTAAAGTTATTTTGTGGCTCCGCCACTGGTTATTGAGCATAAATATAAGTCGCACTCTTATGCATCACCTTTATTTTTAAAAATAGTAATAAATACACTTTTTTTTTCTAAATCACTCATCTAGCATCTTTTGTCTCCAAAATAATATTGCAAAGTTTCATAATCCAAGAAATTCCCTTCTCTCCTAAACATTTCCACACCTCTATGGGAATATCATCTGGTACAATAGCTTTTCCACACTTCATTTTCTTTAAAGCCTCTCTAACTTTGGTTTTACTAATATGACAATAAAAATAAAAATCTCTATTTTCATTTTGGTGCTATGGTCATTAAAATCAATCATATTCTCACAATCTTCATTGAAAAGCTTATCAAAATATCTTATCAATCTTAGTTGAATATCATTTTCTAATAAAAACACATTTTGATCTTCATCATTAATGCACTCTGTTTGAATTAAATTATTATTTCTCATATTCTTTACTTGGGCTAACTTAGACATACATCTTCCGCCATCTTTAGCATATAATCTATTACATAAATTATTAAAAGCTAAATTATTTGCATCATATATTGCTTTCTTAGTCTCCTTATGGGCCCTTTTATATCTTTCTTAATTTGATAAACTTTTATATCTAAATCAATTTTTATAATAAAGCTACTTAATTTTTATCTTTTCCTGCACAGTTTAATTCTACCACAAACTATTTTTACTATAAGAAGCTTCTCATATTGATACTCTAAGTACATCTTGTATAATATTTTTAATATCACTAGTTATTTTTTCATACATAACATTATCTTCCTCATGCATAGTCAAAATCTTATGATATTGAATCTTACTATCAAAAATATTTTAGTATTATTTTTAAATATCTTCATAATCCTAGAATAACATTTTACTTCATTTTTATATTCCACCCGTTCATCTAAAATTCATAAACAAATAAGCGATATTAGATACAAACTTTCACTCGAAATAATTTTATAATCTTTGCAAATCTAAATGATTCATTTTTCATATAAAAAAATAATTAATCTGAATTTTAAGTGATGAGATGCTCTTTTCTTTTCTTAAAGAAGTTTATAAGAAGGATATGGCTATCTTATTTAGATGGAATAATTAAATAAATGGCCATTCCCATTTTTAACTGATTAACTCTGTATGTTTGCATTTTTCCTATGAAATATGGAAACTTCATATGATAGTCAGCAAAATTATTGACCATGGTGGCAGAACTTGGCAGAAAAAAATAACGAAATTGGAAATCAGGGAGATAAGTATTGTTCTATTAATTCGGTCATACAAGAACAAGTCATTTGAATGTAACAAACTAGTAACGGCTGAAAAATTAAGAAAGTATTATAATTAAAGATCATACAAGAATTCAGAAATGTTCCATGATTCAGATAGACTTCAACTTAGTAGAAGACAAGGACAGATTGCAATGTCTCGTGTAAATAGTGAACAATAACAAAAAGTGTAAGCCTTTCAGATTAGAAGATTTCAATAAAACAAGCTCTCAACCAAATCTTTGGTTCAACAACGAAACCATCTCATAAAATAATTAGTTATTTTCCAAATTTTACTTAACATAAAAAATAGGACTCTGAAATGTAACTTAAAGATTTTCTTTTCTGTGGAACTTGCTCTTCATTGACTGGCAAAATTTATTATTTAAGCCATACTTGTGATTCAAGGAGTTGAAATTTAGAAAATTAACACATAAAGGACGAGTTTTCAATTAGGACATTGCTAGTATAATTCAGATCTATGATTGAAAAGGTGCAATTCACAATTTAATTGGATTTATTTTATATGATTACATTTTGCCCCAGAAACATGGAACTTCACATCCACCCGTAACCTCAACCCACCCCACACAAAAAGGGAGAAAACAACTGACAGATAAAACAAATACCATCACAACACGAATAAAAGAGCCCATCGGACAATTTTTTTATGTATTTGCAAGGGTTAGCATTAGAACTTCTGGGAGAAGTGTACAAGATTTTTAAATAATTTTCATCAGCAACCTGCATTATGTATGTTGATTGGTGTATAAACTCAGTTGGAATCAAAATATTTATTCAGTAAAAGTTGTTCTTGCAAGAGCAGTGCATAAAGTAGTTTGATTTGAACCATCACCTCAAAATTAAGTTGAAAATTTAGAAAGGGCTGACTTTGCGAGCTAATTGCAGCATCAATTCAGGAACAAGGCGTCTTGCAGGAGGTGCAACAGCATTTTTGGCTAGAGAAGCAGCATCGCCCGCATGGATGAAAGAAACTATGTCTTCAAGTAGCTCATCTCTTCCACCTCTCAAAGGATCCTAAAGAAGAAAAGTCAAAAGCAGATAATAAGCATTTTTACAATGAAGAATACAAAAAAAGCATAATTGATTGGAGCTTGAGCTTAAACAAAGGCAACCTAACTCTCCTGCCTGTTTGGTTGGAGCTTAGCATAAACTAAGGGAGAAGCTCGTAAGCTCAAGTCATTTGGCAATCTTAAATTGTTTGGTTGGCCATAAAGATAACTGACAAAAGCAACGAGTATTCAGAGTAGGAATTAATTGCTGTCAATGTTAGTAAGTTATAATTATATCATCCTTGAATTATAATTAATTAAAATTAAATTATAAGTTTGAATTGTTCAGTCATAAAAGAAAAGCATATAAATTCGGTCATAAAATAAGAAGTTATGTTCATATGTTATAATTTAATTAGTCAATGAGCAGCATTGTAAAGTACTAGGTGTATCGCACTAGCAATTTCACCTTGCATTGCCCGAGCACCAAGGTGAGCCCCCAACTCACCTTTAACAATATTGACAGAGTAGATTAATTGAAATAATTAGGAATTAATTGATTAATTAATGATTAACTAATAATCTGACAATCGCACAATCAACAGTGAGTGCAGTAACAACTTTATAGGATTAAGCAATGGTGACAACAACATTCATGATAATTGTAGCATCAATGGGACACAACAATTTGTTTGTAACGTGATGAAAGGAAACAAAGGCAAGTTTGTGTGTTGAAAGGTGTTATTTTTGCAGGGAGAAATGAGGTTACTGCAAGAAGGATAGTCTAATGTAGGGAGAGAAGGAATAAAATGTTTAGCTAGTGCAAGCTGCTTGTTGGGTACTTAGCCTAAACAAGGTTTAAACCTAATTTAAGAACAATCAAACTTAAAAATTTTTAAGGCTTAGATAAGTCACATAAGAGTTATTTGACTTTAGTTTCTTAATCCAAACTCAAGCCCCAGCACTAAATAATTTTTGCTCATCTTTTAAGCTATAAAATCTTTAAGCGCATCCTAATAGATAAGTTGAGTAAGGATGTTAAGCATAGGCGCATCAAAAAGTGTGCTTAATATTGTTAAGATCTCTCTTTCTCTCATTGCATCGTGCTCTATCCAATAAGCATCAAGAAGCATTAAGGTCATGCTTTCCAAAATAGGCATTCGCTAGAATCTGGCAATTTTTACCCATAACTTTATCTTAGCCTTCCTAATATTCAAAAATCATTAAAGCTAGAACCATTTTGTCTTGCTCCCTCGACAATTTCAAATCTTTATCATTCCTTACTTAATTTCTTCTAATCAACTTAGGTGAATTCATCATTCTTCATAGTTGATGCAATAAAAACACAAAAGTATTGCAAACTCAAGTCATCCTTTCCGTAAACATAACAATACTATTATAAATAAGACACCTTACAACTTTAAATAAAAGGGACAAAAACAACAAACAATTTAAACACGACGCAACGACAACCTACAAATACGACTCAAAGACATCTTATAACTTTTCAAAGTTTGAGAATAAAGATACAATGGAAAGGTACTTGTGGAGAGAAGAAGTAGATTAGAAACCGAGATGAATTATAAGAAGAGAGGAGGTAGAAGAGGATAGCTCGCTAGCAATTCAAAACACACATGTTTCACTTTCCACAAATTCCTCACAATTTCTCTTAAAACCGCAGCAAACAACCCTATATATAGGGAAAAATGAATCCAAACAGCCTCCCACAAGTGCTACCCAAGCAACCAATCAAAACAAGGTAAAAAAACAAAGAACAAGGCACGGCCAGCCTAAGAACCGAACAGCAAGGCATCCAAACAGCAAGCCCAGAAACCAAACAGCCAAAAAACCCAACATACACCAAGGGAAAGGCACGGCCAGTCTAGGAACCGAGCAGCCAGGATAACAACAGCCAACATTTATGGGAAAATCACCAAGACAACAGAGGCACAGCCAACCTAGGAACCAAGCAGTCAGCATATCAGCCGAGATAACCAAGACACCAATCAACCAAAGAAAGGGAAAAATGGGCCAAGCCCAATAAGAGATATTCAGCCCACTAATAAATACCCAAAAAGAAAAAAAAAGCTGAAACTTTTTTCCTACATCAATTCTCCATTGGTGGAGAAATGTCATCTCCTGATGAGATAGATTCTGAACTTCCAATTTGAGCATATTGCAACTTATCTAAATTCTTAGTCAAAGTAGCATATTTCTTTTTGATCATCTCCTTTTCTCGATTAAACTCGACTAGTAGTTGAAGCTTCTTAGCTTCATATCTTTCTGCACATAAATATAGATGTCTTCAAATTTTGAGAAGCTCGATCTATAGAGGATTAGACGAACATACATGAGGTAGAACTCATTTGTTGTTGGAAATTTTGTTGCAACTCGAGCTTTCGAGTTTATGATTTTTGATTATAACAAATAATATTTATTAAACTTTTATTTCTCCTGATATTTGCAGTGCATATTTCTTTCTATGTTGACTAATATTTCAGGTACATCATGCACCGTTCTTTGAAGATTTAAGGCTCAAGATTGCATAGAATTGATCATATTGAATGAGTCTGTAATTTTCATTTATTGAGTCAAGTCTTGTAATGATGTATGTTAGTTTGTTGATCATGCACACACATAGAAGGAGCAAAAAACGATTCTAAATATTTTAACTTTTCTGTTCATTGTACTGTACGATCTGGTGTAACAGAAATAAATTAAAATATTTTATTTTTCCGGTAAAAAATTATTTTTGAATTATAACTAATCGTACTGTACGATCACCACATCGTGCTGTACGATCTGTTATATTTAGGAAATAACTGAATTTCTGCTGGTATATGGCTGAATTGCTGGTGTTATATGGCTGAATTCAGGAATTAGGGAAGCAAAATAGCTAAAGGACTGCTGTGATTTATATGGGACGGCAGTAGTTTGCTGTAATAATTGGAAAATAGCGGGATGGTGCAGTTTTACTTCATTCCTCTCACTCATAAGTATCTCTGTTTGCTTGAATGCTAAAGGCAGCTTATGGAGGTGCTGAAAATTTGCGACTGATTGCAGAAATTAGGAAAGAAAGCATAGGAAGGAGGTTGGATTGAATGAAGAAGAACGTAATTGAAGTAGTATATAAAAGGAGAAAGAATCAGAATACTTGGGTGAATCAGTTTACCCAACTGTTATGAAAAACTAGGTGAGATCCCCATCGATTTATAAGAAATAGTTCAAATTTTATATATTTGTGAATTAATATTTGTCATATTTATGATAGCATGCCTTTCATGTAATACCATGTATGTCCATCTATTTCAATTTCTTTGTTATAATTGATTCTAGTATATAGATGATTGATTCAATAGATAATAGTACAAAAAGCAAGTGATTTAAGTCATATATGGGGGATAAGCCCGCACAAGTAAAGGCGAAAACCTGATGAGGTAAGCCTACACTCTGAATTCTAGAAGTTGAGAATTTGGACACAACCTTGAATGGAGAACAGCTTCAATTCTAAAAGTTGGGAATCTGGACCCAATCTTGAATTGAAAATCTGAAAGAGTGAAAAAGCTTATCGCCATCATATAACTTATTTAAAGATGTTGAACAGACAGCAAGATGGAAAGTAAGGCTATGCATTTCTTAATATCAGTATAGAATTTCAATATGTTCTAACAATGTTATTATTAATGTTATAAATTTCTTAAATATTAAACAATGTTATTAGTTATTATTTCTTATACATTGCTTGTGTATTTCATTGAGTTCTAGCTCATTTACAGTGGTTGTATTGCAGAAAAAGGGAAGGAGCCTATAGATCCCTAAGGGGGATGACTATCTTTCTTTTAGTGTACATACTTTTTGGGTGTGCATAGAAGTTCAAGTGTAAACTGTATAAAAACTTTTGGATATATAAGTAAATTTTAAAGGTTCTAGTAAGGCTCTATTTAATTTTTAGATGTTAATTTATTTGAGGTATATCATATATGCTTCTTATTATAAAAATCGTGATGTGTTAAGATTAGTTAAGTTAGGATAGTTTGCATAGACAAGGTTTTACTTACCTAATTTGGATATCAATGTGTCAGAATGGAGTAAGTAAGAAGGTCTGCTCAGACTCCCCTTCTCTGTTACAATCTAGCTTGATTGTAGAGGTGTTAAATTGGGGTCTTACAGCTCCTGCCTCCAATCGTGCTTCCCGATGCTATATCCTGACCTAGCCTTCTGATTCCCCTCCATTTCTACCCAAACCTGTAACAGAACTCTTCCCTAAACGACAACTTCAAGCCGCACATTGTATTCATCTGATCTTTCGACTATCTCTCTAAGACCAATCTCTACAAACCGCCAGTAATAGTGAGATATATATTAGTTTATGTTTAGTATTGATGGGGGGGGGGGGTTGGAGAAAACGAAAAGAAAAGAGGTTCCAAAAAAACAAGGGAAGAAAATTGTTATATTTTTGTGCTTTTTTTTAGCATCATCACCTTACCCTCTCCACCGGTGCAACACCTACGATGAGACGGATAATAACCTAAAATCCCAGTTTCATCGTTTGTGGTGGGCCTGCAAACCCTCTATATGCGCTCTCGTAACACGGTGGGTGGAAACCCAGTGTGACGCCTACAACGAGGTGGATAATCACCTAAAATCCCATTTTTGGTGTTTGCGGAGGACCGGAGAACCACCTATACGCGCTCTCGTAGCACGGTAAGAGGGAGCTCGATGTGACGCATACGGCGAGGTGGGTAAGCCCTATAAACGCTCTTATAGCGTTGAAGGGAAAGCTACTCGTGTTTTAGTACATGGACTTCAACTCAATTTAAACAATAAATGAAATTGCAAGTAATGAATTCAAACTCAAATGAATACTTACAGGGGACTTGAATTTGCATTTGATTTGAAAATCAAATGAGATAAACAAAGGTTTGAACATATGAACAAAGTGCAATAAGACTTGATTTGAACATTAAGTGAACATGAACTTGAATTGGACTCAAGCTGCACTCAAATTTAAACAAAATTCGAACAACAAGGAACTTTAAGTTAACTTGAACAATCAACAAGTTGAACTTAAACTTGAATAAAATAACTTGGAACTTGGACAAGAATGCGATTTAGCAAGAAATTAAAATCCAACATTCAAGATGAGATTAATGGATCTTAGAAATTACACAACCGAAAACAAACAAATAAGAAAAGACTCATGCATTTTGGCATGTATTCTTTGAACAGTAAGTAAATTGTAATTACCGGATCAATCATTCTC